ATCCGGGATTTTGTTTCGGGGGGGGGGGGGGGGAGTACTGTAGTTTTACAACATTCACATAAAAAATATAAAACGATATTTTACTGTCAGGTTTTTGTCTTCTTCAAGGTTGAAGGCAATTGTCCCCCCCCCCCACACACACAGACAATTAACGTACCTGTTTAATTCTTATTTAGCTTTGGTTTGAGGGGCCATATGTGATCACACTTTTAACAGGATCTTGAGTGTAAGTACTCGTTGTTTCCTCATCATTAAAAACACTGAGATCTAAGCATTGGGTTAACACAATTAACTAAATGTCGTTTTCCATACCCACTTCAATCCTGCCTGACAATCACTTTGAAAATAACCTCTCCATAAAGAGCAAAGCGTTTGGGTGGAGAAACCGAAAAAAAGTTAAGATCTTTATCAAATGGGGAGGGGGGAGATGCAGTTTTCCTGTTTATTCCTGTATGCACGCGGAAATGAAGTGTTTAGTCTTCTTTATTTGTTTTTATGTTTATTGGATCAGGTTCTCGTCAACGTAATGCGTGAAACAAGTATCTCGGAGCTCAATGAGTTTAAGGCCGCCAATGTTAATTAAAACGCGAAAGTTAGTAGTTAGAACCTTTTCTCACCATCTTGTTTTTGTTGTTTCAATAAAAAAAAATGCGAGATTATTTCTTTTGTGTGTAACGTGTCATACTTGTGTGTTATTTACTGTTTTCATCTCCATTTCGGTAGATTTATAAAAAAAAAGGAGTCCGTCGCACCATATTAAATATAGTTTCTCTGTCTATCAAATATTTAATACCCCAGATTATACTGTAGTCATCATCGAATATGCATCTTAACTATGGAAATATACATAATAAAAGGGAGTGACACAAACTGGGCACATCATACGTTTTAAATTTATTGTAATATGTAAATATTTCTCCGGACCATAGCTTTTATGAGTTCGTAAAAATCCCATTACTTTCCAGTTTGTTGCTACAGCTGGCTTTCAAAAGCAAATGTGGTGTTTGAAAGTGTGCATAGGACAGAAACAACGCAAACCCGTGCATATGTTAAGATCTATACTGAAACAGCTACGGTAGTTTAAGTTTATCTGGAAACTTTCACGATAAAATGATAATTTCGCAAGTGAAAAAAGTTTAATAATTTGAAATACATTTTAACCCTTTTTTCTATAACTGTACACATTTCATTAGACGTGAACTTAGTTGAGAGGATTTTTAGCGATTTTGGAAACGATAGTATGTCAATATTTACACTTCTAACACCAGTTTCTCTCAGTATTAGTGGGGCCCAGCATGGCCAGGTGGTTAGGGCGCTTGACTCGTAATCTGAGGGTCGCGGGTTCGAATCTCCGTCCCTCCAAACATGATCGCTTTTTCAGCCGTGGTGGCGTTATAA